CTCAAAATCAATATTGAATCATAGCACTCCATCGTCTGCAAAAGTTACGCCCTTTATCTTTACAATTTAAGTTTTTAATATTTTTTTATTAATCTTTATAATGAAATATTAGCATTTTTGCTCAATAGCTTCCAGGTAATGTGATCAATTGACTCAAAATCAATATTGAATAATAGCACTCCATCGTCTACAAAAGTTACGCCCTTTATTTTTTACATTTTAAATTTCTAATATTTTTTTATTAATTTTTATAATGAAATATTAGCATTTTTGCTCAATAGCTTCCAGGTAATGTGATCAATTGACTCAAAATCAATATTGAATCATAGCACTCCATCGTCTGCAAAAGTTATGCCCTTTATTTTTACATTTCAAATTTCTAATATTTTTTTATTAATCTTTATAATGAAATATTAGCATTTTTGCTCAATATCTTCCAGGTAATGTGATCAATTGACTCAAAATCAATATTGAATCATAGCACTCCATCGTCTGCAAAAGTTACGCCCTTTATTTTTACATTTTAAGTTTTTAATATTTTTTTTTATTAATTTTTATAATGAAATATTAGCATTTTTGCTCAATTGCTTCCAGGTATCTATGTGTAGATATTGGCAGTTTTGCTGAATACGTTCCAGTTTCTGTGATGGATTGACACAAAATTTTTGAGAAATCATGGTACTAGACTGGTTTAATGAGATACAGCATTTAGTTTAAATATGAAATCTCTAAACATGTATAATGTTTTTGTAAATACAACAAATATAAATATTCTAGTTTGACAGCTTCTGGGCTTCAAAATCTAAGCCTACAGTTTTATTTTGAAAACAGGAAGTTGGTACACAATGTAGCCGTTTTCACTCGCCGTGTTTTTACTGTAAAGTCTCTAATAAGGGTGCACTGGAAGTGTTGGAGCGGCTTCCTCCGATCGCAGTGTACCCGGAGAAAAGGAGAGGTTTTCCCGTGGGGGAGAAGAGAATTAACCGGAGGAAGAAGCGGTTTGAATGTCTGTCGAATATCCAACGTAAAACTAACTTCACCGCGGTCTGCTAGCAGCTGGAGCAGATTCAGTTCCATAAAAAGCTCACTGGGTGTTTTCTTGTTTGGTTAGACTTAAATCCACGTCTTAATATCTTATTTTAGATATTTGGGAGCCGCTTAAAGCAACAGTTCTTAGCAGCTGAAGAACATCAGGTTTTTTTCTGTGGACAGAAAAGAATCATTGGTGCCTTTTTGGTAAACTTTTTAAGTTAGGCTCTGTTTACAGGGCTGCCAACTTTTCAGCAAACCTTGGGGGGATATTTAGAAATAGTTTGGACAGGAAACCCTGTCAGGATTAGATCAAAAGGCTCTGGGGACAGGTGCAGCTCTAGGTTGGAGGTTTTTAGAGTATTTAACTGAAACAAAGTGTCAGAATGTGTTTTTTTTATATGTTTACTGAGTAACAATAAGTGATCTGTAATTATGTGGAGCATTTTTCTCACAATATATATTCCATCCATCCATCCTCCCTCGATCGATCGATCGGGTCATGGGGGTTGCAGCTTCTCCGGGGGAATCCTAAGGCGCTCCCAGGCCAGCAGAGAAATATAGTCCCTCCAGCGTGTCCTGGGTCTCCTCCTGGGCCTCCTCCCGGTGGGATGTGCCTGGAACACCTCACCAGGGAGACGTCCAGGAGGCATCCTAATCAGATGCTGGAGCCACCTCAACTGGCTCCTCTCGATGTGGAGGAGCAGCGGCTCTATTCTGAGTCCTCCCCTAATGACTGAGCTCCTCACCCTATCTGTAAGGGAGAGCCCAGACACACTACGGAGAAAACTCATCACAGCCGCTTGTATCCGGGATCTCGTTCTTTTGTTCATGACCCAAAGCTAATGATCATAGATGAGAGTAGGAACGTAGATCGACAGGTAAATCGAGAGTTTAGCTTTTTGGCTCAGCTCTCTCTTCACCACAACAGAGCTGTACAGTGCACGCTTAACAGCAGACGCCGCACCAATCCACCTGTTGATTTCCCACCTTTCTCATCTTCCATCTTCCCCTCATTCGACAATATATATTATTTTCTATATTCTAGTAGGGCCCATACTTCTTTACTTCAGTTCTCTGAAAATCACCAGAATATACAACATATATTATTTTCTATATTCTAGTAGGGCCCATACTTCTTTACTTCAGTTCTCTGAAAATCACCAGAATATACAACATATATTATTTTCTATATTCTAGTAGGGCCCATACTTCTTTACTTCAGTTCTCTGAAAATCACCAGAATATACAACATATATTATTTTCTATATTCTGGTGATTTTTAGAGTAAAGAAGTTTGGGCCCTACTAAAAAACTTGCATCTTAAATATACTGTAAACTAAGAATTTTACAACTTTGTTCATGAATTATTCTCTGCATTTTAAGTAACATAAACAACGGGGAACTAATAAGTTATCACTGGATTACTTGGACTGATACAAAAAGCAGTGCAGTCGAATCCCATGCAGACTTCACTGAGTATGAATATTTCGTAATAGGCGAAGGATTAAAAAGCTTCATTCATTATATTATTAGTTTTTCTTACAATTGACAAAACGGCTAAACTATTCAGACCTTCTAGGAGGCTGTAGATTTTATAAAAACTCACCATGATAGGAGACAGCACTTCTCTGGATGTTTCATTTGGAAAATGTGATGGAAATTAAGTTAACATATCAAATTGACCAAAATAAGGATAAATGAATAAGATAAGTAATAATAAAACAAGAACACCCCTTCGGTTCTCCCTTTATGAATCCTGGATAACTGAGCTGTTCTGCGGTTGGTCTTTTCTTGGGTGGCTGATCTTTTGAAAAATAAAATGCAATGTTTTTTTTTTCCTTTTTGTGGAGCTCCTATGGGTTCGAGAGGCAAACCTGAATTCAAGTATTAGATTGCTTAAAATCTTTAATAATTTACAATGAGAATCATCCTAGTGCAGAGGAGATAAGATAAACATTAAAATGATGTACAGGTGCTGGTCATAAAATTAGAATATCATGAAAAAGTAGATTGATTTCAGTAATTCCATTTAAAAAGTGAAACTTGTATATTATATTCATACATTACATACAAACTCATATATTTCAGATGTTTATTTTGTTTAATTTTGATGATTACAAATGACAACAAATGAAAATCTCAAATTCATCATATCAGAAAATTAGAATATTGTGAAAAGGTTCAAAATTGATGGCCCCTGGTGCCACACTCTAATAAGCTAATTAACTCAAACCACCTGCAAAAGCCTTTAAATGGTCTTTCAGTCTAGTTCTATAGGCTACACAATCATGGGGAAGACTGCTGACTTGACAGTTGTCCAAAAGACGACCATCGACACCTTGCACAAGGAGGGCAAGACACAAAAGGTCATCGCTAAAGAGGCTGGCTGTTCACAGAGCTCAGTGTCCAAGCACATTAATAGAGAGGCGAAGGGAAGGAAAAGATGTGGTCGAAAAAAGTGTACAAGCAAGAGAGATAACCGCACCCTGGAGAGGATTGTGAAACAAAACCCATTCAAAAATGTGGGGGAGATTCACAAAGAGTGGACTGCAGCTGGAGTGAGTGCTTCAAGAACCACCACACACAGACGTATGAAAGACATGGGTTTCTGCTGTCGCATTCCTTGTGTCAAGCCACTCTTGAACCACAGACAGCGTCAGAAGCGTCTTGCCTGGGCTAAAGAGAAACAGGACTGGACTGCTGGTGAGTGGTCCAAAGTCATGTTCTCTGATGAAAGTAAATTTTGCATTTCCTTTGGAAATCAAGGTCCCAGAGTCTGGAGGAAAAGAAGAGAGGCACTTCATCCACATTGCTTGAAGTCCAGTGTAAAGTTTCCACAGTCAGTGATGGTTTGGGGTGCCATGTCATCTGCTGGTGTTGGTCCATTGTGTTTTCTGAGGTCCAGGGTCAACGCAGCCACATACCAGGAAGTTTTAGAGCACTTCATGCTTCCTGCAGCTGACCAACTTTTTGGAGATGCAGATTTCATTTTCCAACAGGACTTGGCACCTGCACACAGTGCCAAAGCTACCAGTACCTGGTTGAAGGACCATGGTATCCCTGTTCTTAATTGGCCAGCAAACTCTCCTGACCTTAACCCCATAGAAAATCTATGGGGTATTGTGAAGAAGAAGATGCAATACACCAGACCCAACAATTCAGAAGAGCTAAAAGCCACTATTAGAGCAACCTGGGCTATCATAACACCTGAGCAGTGCCACAGACTGATCGACTCCATGCCACGCCGCATTGCTGCAGTAATACAGGCCAAAGGAGGCCCAACTAAATACTGAGTGCTGTACATGCTCATACTTTTCATGTTCATACTTTTCAGTTGGCCAACATTTCTATAAATCCTTTGTTTTTATTGGTCTTCAGTAATATTCTAATTTTCTGATATGATGAATTTGAGATTTTCATTTGTTGTCATTTGTAATCATCAAAATTAAACAAAATAAACATCTGAAATATATGAGTTTGTATGTAATGTATGAATATAATATACAAGTTTCACTTTTTAAATGGAATTACTGAAATCAATCTACTTTTTCATGATATTCTAATTTTATGACCAGCACCTGTACCTTGTAAGAACTGTCTTTGCTCAATATCTGGCACAGTGAATGGGTGGGAATACAGACTGGATATGAACCTGTTATGTCCTTTTCACCATGGTATTTTTATACATAAATAAGTGGAACAGAGTTGAGTTTTAATGTCTTGTTTTGTGTGAGAAATTGGGAATATGGAGTGAGAGTGTTTGAAGACACTTCGATGGGTGAGTCTCACTCCCAATGGGTGAGAGTCAACAACCCTGTGTTTATGATCTACAATCAGGCTGATTATGACAAATGAACACACATAATCAGATAGATGAAAATAAACAGTTTATCCCAGCCTCTAACTAAAGGTTAAAGATCCCTGTATGTAATAGTTAACAGCTGTATGTGTATTTTATATCACATTAGATACTCTGGGAACCTCTGATGTTGCTGTGTGAGCATGGCCTCAACTGCCAGTTTTGCCCCTCCAAAGCTAGCAGACTTTATCTTGACAGAGCGGCTTGGCAGCGGCACATATGCTACCGTCTACAAAGCCTACAGGAAGGTAAGCTTTTAAACAGGAGAGAGTATACCTGTTCTACATCTCTGCATAAATTCAATTATTTTTATCATTATAGTTGTTATTAGTGTTGCACCGATGCCATTTTTTGGCCCCGATACCCGGCCGTGCAGTATCGGCCGATACCGATACCATAGCGATACCATCTGTTTGAAATTGATGTGTGTGTATATATGAAGAACTGCATCCTGCTTGGATGTAAACTAATTGCCATCATGGTTTGTCAAGATGCTGCCTACCTTTGTGAAGCAGGAACAAAGACTAATACAAAGTGAATCCAGTAGAACTTTTTATTGCCTACCTGGAATGGGTGACAATAGTTGAATAAACTTTTGGCTCTTAAAATGGTATCGGTGCCCTATTTGTTGGTACTCACCGATACCGCCCAATACTGGTATTGGTTCAACACTAGTAATTCTTTCATATTAACATGTTTTTTGTGTCTTGATTTGAATTGACTTTCCGAGTTTTAAAGTGTGATCGCTAAGCTCTCCGTTGTGATGTGTTTTAGGGAAACAGTAGAGAAGTGGTGGCAGTGAAAGTTGTGGCCAAGAAGACTCTCAACAAGGCCTCAACAGAAAACCTTCTGACAGAGATTGAGATCTTAAAGACTGTGCGTCACCCTCACATTGTCCAGCTGAAAGACTTTCAGGTATCTGCTCGTTAATTTTCTTCAGAAACTTAAATATTCTGTCAACCAGTGTTGCTCTGGAGCATAATGGTTTGGTCTGTCTGTCTAACATATTCCTTTGAATGTCATATATTATCCATTTACAGCATTTTTTAAAGGTATACTATGCAACCGGTGTTGATTTTCCAGCGAGGCTCCCCCCAGAGGGCGAAAGTAAAAGTGCACTGTCGTAAATATGCTCAGCTGTTCTCCTGGTTTCTCCGTCAAGCCAGGCGCGGTTGTTTTGAGCTTAGCAGACAGGCGAACGCAACGAATGACTAATGCTGCGTTCACACTGGACACAGCTGGCGCGACAGAAGCAGCGAGTTTACATGCAAAGTCAATGGTTGACGCGCGTCAAGGCGCAGCAAAAGGTCCCGCGGCGCGTTTTGAGCAGTAGGCGCAGCGCGTCTGAGCAGCTGAAGCAGCGCGTCGGGCGCGTTTAAGCATCTGACGCGCGTGACGCGCCGCAAACGCGCTGCTGCTCAAGATGGAAAATTTAAATTTTTGCTGCTCGACGCCCCGCGTCAACCAATCAGAGAAGCTGATCTGGGAGCTGACAGGGAGAGAGACACAGCGCTGATGATCAGAGCGCTATGATCACTCCTCTCAAACAGTTTATTGACGCCTAAATTAACTGAAAATGCAGAAATCTGCCGGCAGAACATGTTCGCTTTTATTATCCTGCTGCCTGCAGTTTGGATTATTTAGATGAAAAACACCTACCAGCCGCCGCGGTGAACTGCGAGGAGGCGACCCGGCCAGAGGCTGCTGATGAAGGGATTCCTACTGTCTGCGCACCGCTGGTATGTGGGGGTCTGAGCGGCTCCAACAGAAATAATATTGTAAGGCAGGATTGTAATCTGAATGAACTGACTGCACTGATTACGTTTTCAGGTGGATTTTCTCACTTAAAAACATATTAAAACTACTTTATTCCCACTGATCACAGCAAATATAGCTGCATGGCAGAGAAAGGATAGTGAAGCTCCGCCCAACGCGCGTCAGACACACTTTTGCACCGCGCAGCCAGAGCAGCAAAGCTGCTTCAGCCGCGCGTCAGAACTAACTGGTACAAGCAGCAAAAATGAAGCAGCAGACGCGATTTTGCTGCTTTTGCTGCGTCCGGTGTGAACGTAGCATAACTGCACAAAGATCGCCACTGTGCTAGCAACAAGAATGCTTTTAACTGGGGGCGTGTAGCAGTTCTCGGCGTAAAGCAAGACCGACTCTCGCGAGACTTCTGAGCCTGTGGGTGCGGGTCGGTGCTCCTGCAATTGCAAGTGCGGTATTTCCCCCACAGACCACCAGGGCGGTCAAGAATACCTTTGTTCAACCTGAAATGACTCATTTAATCATCCAAAACGTTATGGAACACATTAATTAACTGAAAAATGTTGCATAGTGTGCCTTTAAGGTTTGCACCTCCTAAAAGTAACTTTTTTTTATTTTCATGTCTGAAATTAAGAAAGATCCCTGATAGAAAAAAGCAGATAAGATAAGAGAGAGGGATGATGGTAACGTTTAAACGTTTGAACTTGGGGATCGATCTATAACACAAAACCAAAGAGCGACCAAAGATCCAGCATTTGATAGAGTGAAGCTTTATTTTTCCAATGAAGAGATTTCAATTCGAAATGTTTATGTAGAGCATTAGTTTGGAGACCTAAAAAACAGGAACTCTGTGGAAGGATTTCCAAGTTCTTTGTTAGGCCTTTCCGACGGGACTTTATAACGGAGCTTTGATTGAACCGGGTTGGTTTTAGATATAAAACTACAGTCAACCTGCAATTCACACAGTGCTGAATAACATGAAGTTAATTTAGTTCCATTAATGTTACAAGCAAAGAGCACATAAAGATTGAATAAAAAAAAAAAAAAACAATCCAGAAATGAAAACTTTGAGAAATGTTTTTATCAACAAAAGGTTTAGATTTAACTTTGCTGCTTTCTCAGATTTTATGTTTACATTTGTTTTAATATTTTTCTATTTTCAAATTTTTTTCTTGTTTTACAGAGTAAAAATAATTTTCTTATTTATATGTATTTATAATTTTATATTTTAATTTATATTTTCTCGATTTTTTACATTTCTATTTTTCAGATGGGAATTTAGTAGTTTGCATTCTTTTTTTTTTCCATAATATTTTTATTAGAATTTTCTTCTGCATAAACATACCAGAAACAACAAAAAGACATGAAAATAAAATAAAACAAAAAATGTACATACATTGCGATCCCTCCCCCACCCAAAAATAAAACAAAAAATAAAAAGAAGAAAATCCCAGGGCTCACTCTTTTTATACAGGAAGAAAATAAATAAATAAATAAAATTCTATTTACATGTCACAGTGTTCGACGAGGAGTAGGAAGGGAAACCAAACATCTTTAAACTCTTCAAGCTTTCCTTTTGTTGTATAGGTCAGTTTTTCCATTGCCAGGTTAGTGTTCAATAGTTTGATCCATTCACTTATCTTTGGCCTTTCTGTGTTCCTCCACTTCAGGGCAATCAAGTGTTTAGCCTGTAAAAGGCAAAAGTTTCTTTCTCTTCGGAGGTCCTTTTTATCCAGCTGGGAAAATGTGTAGTAAGCAAAGTTTAAATTGCATTTTTTTAAGTTCTGTTTCACTGATCACATTCTCTCCATTTCCAGCCCAATACAAACGTTCAGTGTTCATGCAAACGTCGATCAATAGGATGTTGTTGCTAACGTCCAGTTGACCAATAGAAATGCATCTTCGCAACCCACAAGCCCGCCTCCAGAAATAAAGAAAATATGAAGACAAGAAAATAAATTTCAACAAAATGTTGTTTCTGGATTGAATTTTTCTTCAAATTTCTATTCACTAAACATGTTTTTTGTTTGTTTGTTTTTTTGGGGGGGGGTTTTCACAAAAGAAAATTACTCTATTGCTGCTTATGAGAAACAATGCAACTCAAAACAGTGAAGATTCTGAAAGCCAAAAGTTCTGGCCCGGTTCTGACCTGCATTGATATGAAGTAGGAGTGGAAAAAATACGTTGTCCCACCAGTCTGGCTCACAATCATAGCTAACCTTTATGCAGAGGTATTATAAGCCTTACTTTTCTCCACACATTCAGCCCATTTTTAAATCATTTAGATTCTAACATCACCTCACTACTGGATTCTTTTTTTTTCAGTAAAATGTTTGCAAATCTAGAACAAAGCAACTAAACATGTGTACCTAGCTATATTAGGTAAACAGGTTTTAACAGAATGATGAGTGATTTTTTTTTTTTTTTATGCATTGCAGATGGAAAAATGCATCAAATCTGATCAAATGTAAATGAAAAAATATCATTACCTGCCAACTATGAGCTGATAAATTACACCTCCAGTTTATTAACTGGTCTGGCTGTTTACTCACTGATACTCTCTGATACGGTAGTGTTTGTAATATTGTACAATCATATTAACGCTAAACTAAAACACATTAACACTATGTGTATGTTTATGTTTGTAAAAATATCTGAATCGTTTAAATCTTTGACGCTCTAAGTTAATCGGTGTTAGCCTGATCGGGTATCTTTATGAGTTCTTTTTCATAATATTCACTCGGTGTCTCGCTATGGGATGCAGCCTCCTGCAGCCCTGATAGAAGCATCTATCTCAATCTGCCAATCCTGATTGGCCGGTGGAAGTGCCCGTCATACGCCACGCCCCGTAGCTCCGACTACTAAAGCGTGTGCGGATCACGGCACTCCAATTCAAAACCTCTTCTCACCTGAGAGCTTATCTCACGTCGGAGCCTTCGCTAGCTTAACTGCCCACAGACGGACCTTGCTAGTTTCCGTCGCCGGACGCTAGCACTGTGCTCTGGCTTCTGCCCTGTCCGCTCACTCCAGACCGGACCGGTAACCTTTTGTCTCTCTTCACGGCGGAATCCCTCTCGGCTCCTCTCCACGGACGCTCGAGTCGGACGAGCATTTAGCACACCAGCTACTTCCTCGACCCCGCCACGCTAGCACGCCAGCTAGCTACGGTTCCTTTCCCTACCAGCACTCCAGCTCGTCGGGAAATGGCGGCCGTCCAAAACCCCCACGCCAGGGGAGACCACCGTCTTTGTGGCTGCGGGAATAAAATTTCAGGGAAAGACACCCACCCGGTGTGTGGTACCTGTCTAGGAGTCGACCACGCCAGGTTGGCCCTAGAAATTCCCGGCTCCTGTGGACACTGCAAAGTGTTCACGGTCAAGAGCCTCAGACGCAGGCTAGCCCACCAGGTTAGCATCTCGGACCGTGATCCATTCCTCCCCACCGCCGCACAAGGTGCAGCCGCGGAGGAGGACGTGGACACAGCTGGGGAAGCCCCGGAGACTGACTACGACTGGGGTGCCCAGTGCGAGCAGCTCCATGCCCCCCCGTTTCCCGAGGAAGACGTGCTGGAAGTCAGTCCCATGGAGGAGGATGACGACACCTCGTTCCTCATATCAGAGGACGAGGAAGAGGATGACACCTTCATGGCCCCAGCACAGCCTGAGAGGCCTAAACCGCCGTGCCCTTCCGCCATGGAAGACAGGGGAGCGAGCTCACCAGCTCCCTCCCTCCATGTGGACCTGCTCGACGTGTGCAAACGCGCGGCAGAGAAGCTGGATATTCCCTGGCCGGTCGCAATAGCGGAGCCCACCCGGTCCCGCTACGAAGGCAAACGGCTTCCCCTGGCACGAAATGCAGTGAAGCAGCTTCTCCCTGTCTTCCCCGAGTTGCTGACGGAGCTCTCCAAAACATGGACTAGCTGCCCATACAGCAACAGGAGCCCTATTTCGGGCGCAGCATCCCTCGACTGCGAGGCGATGGACGCCCACGGCCTCCTCTCCATGCCTCCGGTGGAAGTCCCGGTAGCTGCGCACCTCTGCCCAGGCAGCGTGAGCCAGCTGTCTGCAGCTTCCCCCAGACGCCCGACGCTGCCAGCTAAGCCCGAACGGTTCCAGTCTGCGCTGACCGAAAAGGCATACAAAGCAGCAGCCCTCTCGGCCAGAGCCCTCAGCGCCCTCTCCATCCTCACTGCCTACCAAGCGGAGTTGTTTGGCGCGTCTGCTGAGGAGCAAGACCCGGATGCGTGGGAGGAGATGGCGCTCATCGCGGACCTGTCTCTCCGTATCCAACGTGTCGCGGTCCAGGCCACAGGGAAGGTGATGGCAACCCTCGTCGTCCAGGAGCGAGCGCGATGGCTCAGTCTCGCTAACCTGACCGACAGGGAGCGGGATGACATCCTGGATATGCCGATCGTCCCTGAAGGCATCTTCGGCTCTGCATTGGCCACAATGCAGCAAAGATGTGAGGCAAAGAAAAAGGACAACGAGGCCCTCAAACTTTGTCTCCCTCGGAAAGCCCCTGCGCCTTCACCTCCGGTGCAACGCAAAACCTTTGCGCATGCAGCCTCCCAGCCGCCGCGTTTTAAGGTACCAAGACGGCCACCACCGCCAGGTCCGCCCCCTCCGATGAGGAAGGAGCGCGGAGCCGGCTGGCAGGGGAAACCTGCCTCCACGACCGCTACGCCGCCGCCGCCCACAGCCGCCGCGAGCTCGGTCCCACAGGCGAGGAAGAAAAAGAGGGCGGCCTGACAGCCGCCAGTTCCTCAGTTGGTGCAGCCTGCTGTTCCCCGTTGCGCAGGCCCACCGTTTTGGCTTGTTTGTGCGCACCCCACGCCACCGTTGCCCATCCCAGAGCCGGTCTGCGAGGAGAAGGACATCGCCCCGGAGGTCTGCGCGGTTGCGCCCCGAGCGGAATGTCCAAAAGCACAGTCACACACCCTTGTTCAAAGAAAAAATGGTGTCAAAATAAAAATAAATCTGTCACAGCCAGGCCACGAGCCGAGGGTGCAGATAATAAAAAAAGCCAAAACAGACGATGCTCTCTCTATAAGCAGGGTGGCCGCTCAGCCCCCTGCAGCTCTGCTCCCGGGACGGGCACCGCCGTCCCCGCGGAGCAGAGCAGAGCGCTCCACCGTGCCTCCGGTGGTGCCCGAGAATCATTTCTCGGTTCCACCACAGGGGGGCGCGGGGCAGGAGCCGCAATATTTTCCCCCGCTCTCTCTCAGATGGGAAAGCTGGAGAGCAGCAGCAGCTCCACCGTGGGTGTTGCGCACAATTTCCCGGGGATACAGGCTTCAATTCGCCACTGTCCCTCCCCGCTTCTCCGGTGTAATACACTCACATGCACAGGGAGAATCAGCTCGAGTTTTACGGGAGGAAATTCTCTCTCTGATAGACAAACGAGCAGTTTCTGTCGTATCTCCCGAACAGAGTCTGTCAGGGTTTTATTCCAGATACTTCCTCGTCCCCAAACGGGGGGGGAGAGGAATCCGCCCTATTCTGGACTTAAGAGCCCTGAACAAATTCCTGCGGAAATACAAGTTCAGGATGCTGACACATGCAGCTCTGTTGCGTCTAGTAAGACCGAACGACTGGTTTTCGTCCGTGGATCTGAAAGACGCGTATTTCCACATTCCCATTTATCCCCCTCACAGACAATATCTCCGGTTTGCCTTTCAAGGGGTGTGTTACGAATACCGTGTTCTACCATTCGGTCTGTCTCTCAGTCCGAGGGTTTTCATACGGTGCACAGAGGCCGCGGTAGCCCCGCTCAGACGCCGGGGGATACGTCTGGCCACGTATTTAGACGACTGGCTCCTGTTAGCGCAGTCAGAACAGGAAGCCAGGGTTCACACACACATTGTCACAAAACACTTGATGGATTTAGGTTTTGTGATAAATATGGAAAAAAGCCACCTATCTCCAATGCAGGAGATATGCTTTCTGGGATTATCCCTGCGCTCTGTTCCGTTCACAGCCCGCCTGTCAGAGGAAAGAGTGAGTTTTCAGAACGTGCCTGTCACAATTCCGTCTGCACAGTTCTGTCCAGTTCAGACTGTGCCTTCGGTTGCTGGGTCTGATGGCCTCAGCCATCCTCGTGATTCGCCTCGGCCGCCTTCACATGCGGGACTTTCAGCGCTGGGTCGCTTCGCTCCGAATGGACCCCGTGCGTCATGGCGCACGGCGGATAACGGTCACAGCGGACTGTATAACAGCTCTGCGCTGTTGGCGAGCCCCGTCCTTCCTGACCCAAGGGGTGCCTATGGGCACCGTCTCGTCCAGGAAAGTGGTAACCACGGGTGCCAGCCTATCAGGCTGGGGCGGCATTCACGAGGGCAGGTCTGTGAGGGGTCGCTGGAGCCAGGCCCTCCAGCGCCTTCACATAAACTTTCTCGAACTTTCGGCGGTGTTTCTTTCTCTGAGACACTTCCTCCCATTCCTCTCGGGTCACCATGTCCTGGTGAGGACGGACAACACGACAACAGTGGCGTATATCAACCGCCAAGGGGGCCTGCGCTCCCGCATGTTGCACAATCTGGCGCGCGACCTGATTCTCTGGAGCAGTACCCACTTTCTCTCCCTGAGAGCGACGCACGTCCCGGGAGACTTGAACACGGGTGCGGACCTGCTGTCCAGAGGCGCGCCAGTGTACGGGGAATGGACGCTGCACCCACAGGTCGTGGAGCAGATATGGGCGCGCTACGGGCGCGCTCAGATAGATCTGTTCGCGTCCAGGGAAAACGCTCGATGCGAGCTGTTCTTCTCTCTGAGCACTCTGAATGCCCCTCTGGGCGTAGACGCATTAGCGCACGCCTGGCCGCACGAGCTGCTATACGCGTTTCCACCGCTGGCCCTGATACCCCCCACTCTCGCCAGAGTGAGGGCATTCAACCACAGACTGATCCTAATAGCTCCGCACTGGCCAGCGCAACACTGTCTGGCGGAGATATTCCAGATGCTGTGCGCCCAGCCTTGGGAGCTGCCGCTGCGCAGGGACCTGCTCTCGCAGGGTGCGGGGACAGTGTACCACCCACACCCGGAGCGACTGCAGCTGTGGGCCTGGCCCGTGAGTGGCTTAATTTAACCACTGCCGGGCTCCCTCAGAGTGTAATTAATACTATCCAAAACGCCAGGGCTCCCTCCACTAGGAACCTATATGGCTCCAAGTGGGGACTGTTTGAGCGGTGGTGTCTTGAACGGGACTACGTTCCTTTTCAGTGTTCTGTACCAGCGATTCTGTCGTTTTTACAGGAACTGATTGATAAAGGAAAAGCTTTTTCCACGGTTAAGGTTTATCTGGCAGCTATAGCAGCATGCCATATAGGATTTGGAGACAAAACGGCGAGCCAACACCCTTTGGTTTGTCGGTTTATGAAGGGCGCCCGCAGGCTCCTCCCCGTCTCCAGACCTTTGCTGCCTCCGTGGGATTTGTCGGTGGTTCTGGAGGGGCTTAAGGGACCCCCATTTGAACCGTTGTTGGGGTCCAGTCTTAAACATCTGTCTCTCAAGACAGTGCTGTTACTGGCCCTGGCCTCTGCGAAACGAGTCAGCGACATTCATGCGCTCTCTGTGAGCCCCGCATGTACCCGGTTCGACCCGGAATACACGCGTATGGTTCTGAAGCCCAACCCGGCCTTTGTTCCTAAAGTGGTTGGTTCTTGTTCACCGATCGAGCTAGCGGCGTTCGCTGCCCCCCCAGGTGAACGGCGAGCGCACACGCTGTGCCCTGTTCGAGCCGTGCGCTCTTATATGGACAGGACGCAGAGCTTCAGGATGAGTGATCAGCTCTTTGTCTCCTGGGCGGAGCCCCGTAAGGGGCAGCCAATCACAAAGCAACGCCTCGCCCACTGGGTGGTGGAGGCTATAGCTTTGGCGTATGGAAGCAGGGGTCTGCAGCCCCCGGCGGGTCTGCGTGCACACTCTACCCGCGGGATGGCTGCGTCCTGGGCTTTATTTCGGGGAGTGTCCGTTCAGGACATTTGTTCAGCGGCGAATTGGTCTTCGCCTCTGACTTTTGTCCGGTTCTACATGCTTGACGTGTCTGGACCGTGCGTGGCCAGTGCGGTCCTAGAGTCATAACTGACCTTGTGGACCTTCCCCGTCGGCCGGTTCTTGTTCGATAAGCTGTCTGACAATACGGGAGCTACCATATCCCATAGCGAGACACCGAGTGAATATTATGAAAAAGAACGTTTGGTTATCTAACATAACCCCAGTTCTTAGAATAATATGAGCGAGGTGTCTCGCCAGACGACCCTTCTTGCAGGGCGGCGAGAAGAGGTTTGCTTGTTGAATTGGAGTGCCGTGATCCGCACACGCTTTAGTAGTCGGAGCTACGGGGCGTGGCGTATGACGGGCACTTCCACTGGCCAATCAGGATTGGCAGATTGAGATAGATGCTTCTATCAGGGCTGCAGGAGGCTGCATCCCATAGCGAGACACCTCGCTCATATTATTCTAAGAACTGGGGTTATGTTAGATAACCAAACGTTTGCTCTTGCTTTTTCTCAGTGGGACGCGGAGAACATTTATTTGATTCTGGAGTGGTGTTCAGGCGGGGATCTCTCCCGGTTTATACGCAGTCGGAGGATTTTACCAGAGAGCCTGGCTCGGCGCTTCCTGCAGCAGATAGGTGAGACGTTCCCAGTTTAGATCAACCGCTGTTTCTTTTACTCACATTAGGCCCAGTGGTGTAAAAAAATATGATTTGAAAGTTTTGTTTTTTGTAAAAAAAACAACAACAACAAAAAAAAACTTTTGTATTTATTAGGGATGCACGATATAATCGCCCCCTATCGGTATCGGCCTTAAAACTGAATATCGGACATCGGCCACCCCACCGATATTTAACCCGATATTTGATCAGCTTCTGAGTTTCTAAAGTCTAAAAAAAAAAAAGAAATACTTCTTCTTCTTCCTCAAAAACTTCTTTTTTACAGACTTATAAACTTCTAAAGACGAGGGAAAAAATATTGATCCATTAAAATATCCCAATATCTTCATATGCTGATATATTGCCATTTAAAAACACCATATCAATCTCTTTTACTAATGAAATATTTCTATATGTCATCGTTATGCTACGAAATCCCCCGAAAATTCACCAAATGTTGCCATATTTTTATATGTTGATATATTGACGCGGTATCGATCTATTTTATTAACAGAATCTCACAAGAATTAGCAAAATATCACGAGAGTTTGTAACAGAACGATGAAATTTCACGAGATTTTGAAAGTAAAATAGATCGATACTGTGTTTTTAAAAATCAATTTGATATCAGCATATGAAAATATATTTGAGTATATTATTTTTCAAAGTGTCAGAAATGGATAACAAAACTGCTATTTTCAATGACTACTTATTTTTGTCCAGCTTTAACATCGGTATCGATATCGGTTATCGGCTACATGAGTTTTAAAATATCGGCATATCGGATATCGGCCAAAATCCCAATATCGTGCATCTCTAGTATTTATTGCCAGCGGCATGTCTGATGATGTCTTTTATATGTTTTTTTTGGTTTTGTTCTATTTTTAATTGCATCCATGTGTTCAAACAGCCTGCGCTCTCCAATTCCTTCATGAACGGAATATCTCACACTTGGATTTGAAGCCCCAAAATATCCTGCTTAGCGGTTCTGTCCTCAAACTAGCAGGTGAGTAACCTGACTCCGCCAGATGGATTTGCTGGATTTGCTCCGCATATCCATCTGGAAACCTTCCGTTGAAGTAATTTTGGGAAGGGGCGAAAATACTGGTTAGCTGATTGGCCTATGTTGGTGATAGACGGGCCAAATAAACCAATCAGATCAACGTACTAACAGAGCGACGACGAAGAGGAGCCAATTGATAGATCAAACTCTTGCTGAAACCAGTCGGGAGAAGGGCAAAAACATCTTTTCCTCTGAGAAAAGCCTCCAGAGCAGTGTTTTGCTCTTCTTTCAGTGAAGAAATACTCTGTAATTCCCATAAAACTTGCTCGATAGCCACGCTAACGCTAGTTTCATCGGCTGAAGCCGCCATGTTCTTTAGACTGAACTGTCGCGCTTCTCGTTGCGTCACACCTCAACCCGCCTCAAAGCCAACGCTGATTGGACGTTCGTTTGGTGAACGGCTCCAAATTTTCTTTAACGGAGAGTCTCCAGACTGATCTGCGAGTGAAACCTTGAAAGCTTGCGAGATCAGGATGGTCTCAAGAGGCTAGCAGGTGAGCTCATTTTAACAGAAAAAGAAACACTCTTAAATCTTAACATTTAATTTGTTAGATGTGTTTCACACACCAACGTTTTATTTATTTAATTTTAGTCAATAACTATGAAATAGATTAACTATTTGCAATTTCAGGGTTTAAACTTTTATTTTTTGCAAATATGTAGAAGAAGAATCTCTGCAGAAGCCTGAATCTAAGCGAACCTTTTAGATTTTAGCTTAAATGTGGTGTAAAACTAACTCCAACTAACTATCACCCCCATGGAACATGGTGGTGGCAGCATGATTCTCTGGGGAGGCTTTGCACTACTGCATAAAGTGCATTGCTACATGGTTTGTTGTAACATGTCAGAACAGGAAGTTGAACATTGAAGTGCTGTACAAACATGTAGCTTCATACAGCAGAACTCTGGGCTGCTTTCACACGGTCCTTTTTTTTAATCTTTGGTTGTTTACGGAGAATATACATCCTATTTACCACCCAGATTTCGGGTTTGCCCAGTACATGTCGCCGTGGGATGAGAAGAGTGTCCTGAGAGGTTCCCCGCTCTACATGGCTCCGGAGATGGTGTGCCGACACCAGTATGACTCCAGAGTGGATCTTTGGTCGGTAGGAGTGATTCTTTATGGTGAGTGATTTTAGAAATGTCCTTTAAACCCAGAATCCTCCATTATTGACCTCTTCAGGTTCTCATACACCAACATACATTTTTTCTTGAATTAGATTTTCTATTTTGCTGTACAGATAAAGTTTTACTATTTTTTTTCTTTACATTTTATTTCCACCTGTAAGCTTTTTAATTCTTGTATAAGCAGGATTTTTAAAGCAAATGCTTAATTATTATTTAATGATATTTGAAATGTACTCTCTACAAAGGAGGAAGGGCTTCTTTTAAGGGGTGGATTAGCCTTTAAAGCTTTTGTATATGGAGTGAATTATGTTCCAATAGTTTTGCAAAGAACATTTTTTTTTGCATTTAAAATTTTTTTATTTTAAAAAAGTAGTACTTCTGAAATGCTTCTTTGCTTCTCACTTAAGAGGAAATTTTAAAAGACTACAATCGGTACAACAGTAATCTGAAAAACAAAAAACAAATAAAAATATGAAAATAACCTATGAAAAGAACAACACAAAAAAAATTTGGAAGGACCTTTTTCAAAATTTCTTTTCTGGATTGTTTTTTTTTATTATTTCTATTTGTACAACGTGTTTTTTGCATGAATCCATTCATCTTAAAAGATGATTTTAGCAATTAAACATTTCTAAATAAACAAACTTTTGGAACAAATTTAGTTTCTTCAGTTAAACTTCCGCCTAGGCTACATGTTACAGCTACGCTGCTGTATTCTCTATATGTGTTCTAATAATGCTGATATATCAATGGAGCCTTAATGTTGTTTGTTAATTACATCTATTAAAAAAACAAGCCGATGTGAAATCCTACTTTTTGTTCTATGGTCTGTAAGGTTCTGGGGATTCTGAGATTAAATAAATTGTACTTTCCCCCTCTCCATTCCAAAATATATCAAATACAGCAGCAATGTTTTTGTTTATTTCAGTTCTTTACATGTTTGAAGTAAACTAACCAAACCTTTTTCTGCTCCAATCACACCTGAATTTTCCCTCTGTCTGCTTTATTAATAGCATCTTGAGCTAGCTAGTGGGAGGTCAGTTTTAATGGTCGGTAATAACAGCTTGACTGGGCTGCCTTTTTCGTAAATGAAAAGATTAATCACATGAGCAGCAGTGAGGGCTGGAAAGATCAGGCTCAGTAGGTCAGAGGAGAATTGTACCATTAATCATGTAATGGGCAGGATGGTGAAGGGTCCTTTATGGGATTATTAGTTCAATAATAGAGTCTCAATGTTGTAGCAACACAACTAGACTATTTTAGTTGGTTGGAGCTCTTGACACCTTTAGAGAAGCTGAATAAGAGAGACTGTGACTGAAACAAGTAAAATGTCCTTTAATCAACCAGAGGAAAACCCTACTGAGATTTAGATCTAATTCACCATGGCAATTTTTCCTATAGTTCCTACATAATTTGTTTAGTTTCATTGCTTCAATGCAACATTTAAATAAGTGACCATTTAAGCCTCTTTACTGTCCTGGGTTGAATCCAGTCAGAGATGAGAGAATAAATCAGTTTAATATGTGGAAACTGGTCAGAATAGAAGAAGGGTCAGCTTTTTTCATGAAGATAAGCAAATCTAGATGCTCCTCTTACATTTTTTCTTTTTCTGGTAGTTTTGTTTCTTCTTATTGAAATGATTTAATACATTTTCTTGAGCAGGATGGACTATTTCATCAAAACTAGTCCCTCAAAATTAAACTTTTAGTGCCTCAAAATACGAGGGTGTGGTGAAAGACTGCTACTAGAGATTCAGTCAAAGATAGACGTAATTAATCAGAATTCCTTATATAGATTCATATTTACAGGGAAACTCTGAGATGCTTCAGAAAAATGAATTTCATACATTTTCAGGGGATCCATCAGTTAATCCTTTAATGTGTCACATTCATGAGGTATCATATATTCGAAGGATATAGATGTTTTGTTTAATAAGAACATCTTTTCATAATAGTATTTTTGTTATGATTTACAACCTCTATTATGTTTTTTCTTGAGTTTATTGAAAGCGTTGAGTTCATTGAGGAGTGGATGAATCATTAGCTTAGCTTTTCTTAAGCTTTTTTGTATTTTTTTTCCCAGACTTCCCCTCTTCTTAGTTTTTCTTCCAACGTTCTGCTCTTGTACGGCCTTTTAAACCGTCCCGTTACTGAACACGGTTTCATTGTTTCTATGTGCACAGAGGCGCTGTTTGGACGAGCCCCATTTGCTTCAAAGTCATACGCTGAACTGGAAGAAAAAATCCGAAGCAATCAACCAGTAGAGGTAAAAACCAGTTACAGCTGGATTTGAACTGTTTGGAAAAATAAAGCTCTAATTCCTTAATTCTACATCATCATAGACTTAGACTTAGACAAACTTTATTGTCATTTTGTACACACAGAGTGTTTACAAAACAGCTTGCAGGAATGAGAGAAATGACACTGAATATCCTCCAGAAATAGATTTATCCTTTTCACATTTATACAGAAATCTAATGGATATCAATCACAGATTTTCTCAAAACTGCTGATTCCTCTTTCTTCTTCTGTCTGCTTTTATACCACTGGGTGGCGTACTTCTCTAGTTGTAAGGAGAAAGCTGCCTCTTTTCCATTATATTAAAGAAGAATAACTGGGAGAAAATCTTCTAAAACAGAAGGAATAGTTAGTGAAGAGAGATATAATGTTTAACTCTTTATAGGGCCCTAAGTTTATTACTTTAAAACTGAAAGCTAAGAGTGTTATTGGAGGATAGAAGATACCTTATTTCTTTGCTAAAGTTAAAATGTATTTTCAATGCAAAGATCAAAGAAATTATTGTAAACAGTCCCTTGGCCTGATATGGTAAAAAAAAAAACGTTTTTAACATTTGAAATCAGATTTTTTTATTTTTTTCAATCTCATCTTTAGCTTTTTTAATCAGCTTTAAAAAACATTTATTAGGGTTTTAGCTTTTTAAATCATCTTTTTAACCTTATTTAACTTATTAACTTTTCTTTAACTCAGGATAGAGTAGGTAATATTTTACACACAATAGGCAAAAATAGATTATTGCTGGTTTTCTCTGAAGCATTTACTCTCAGTTTTAAGACGGAGCTGAACCTGAACCCACATTAGACCTTTTACTTATTTATGGTAGTCCAAGTTACCATAACTGGTAACTTGGACAGGAAAAGGTTAAAGGTACTATAAGTTAATGTGTCTGAATGTTGATCATGTAGTTTCTAACTTAAGATGTGTGGTGTTAGAAGTATTTAGTTTTGTGTATTATGACTAAATTGAGGAGCTATCTGAAAGTCATGTTTTGTCAGGGTGTAGAGATGAGGGATGGAAGGTTGTGTCCTTTCTCTGCTTTGTGAATTATATCATGAGTAATAAGGTCGTGTTTTGTGCATTAGCTCCCTCCAGGCGCCCGGGTCTCCAAAGACTGCAGAGACCTTCTGTTGAGGCTGCTCGAGCGAAATCCGGATGCCCGGATCACCTTTGAGGAGTTCTTCACTCACCCTTTTCTGGACATGGAGCACATGCCAAGTGCTGAGTGCATAGTAAAAGCAGTAAGAGGCTTTAGAGGAGGTTAAACACTACAGGCAGAGCATTCTGCAGTTAAAAAAAACGGACGCCTTTTTGTTCCTTAAAGAGGGAGCTGGTGACGCAGGCCGTGCAGAAGGACCAGGAGGGGGAGCGGGCTGCAGCGCTGACTCTCTACTGCCACGCCCTGGAGTACTTTGTCCCTGCAATTCACTGTAAGAGCAACATGCGCCTTACGTCTAACAGCACGCAAACTTCTTCACACAGTGACATTAGAGATGACCACTGAGATCTTTCCACGTTCTTCCTCAGATGAGACGGAGCGACAGCGTAAAGACGCCATCAGGCAGAAGGTAAACCCAAACTATTACCTGATCTGTTCCAACTGCCATGCAAGTGGGCATTGTCAGTTTAACTACGTATATACCTGTCGCGAGTTTCGATGGTGAAGTCCTCTGGAAATCTTCAATAATTGTTGTTGATTGCAGATGTGTCTAGTAGTTCTGTTAGGTCTAAGCACCTAAAACATCATACATACATACAGGGAAAGAAAGAAGGCACAGAGACAATTAATTTAGTTACTCGCGAGGAGAGATTTCAACGGAAGAGGATTAGGGCCACTGGAAAAAAAAAAGTTAACTGATTTTTACATTTTATTTCAGTTTAACATGGGAAAAAAGTCAGAATTCGGAGAAAAAAGTCAAAATTCTGAGAAAAAAAGTCAGAATTCTGACTTTTTTATTGTCAGAATTCAGTCAGAATTCTGAGAAAAAAGTCAGAATTCCAAGATTAAAGTCAGAATTCTGAGAAAAAAGTCAGAATTCCAAGATTAAAGTCAGAATTCTGAGAAAAAAGTCAGAATTCCAAGATTAACGTCAGAATTCTGAGAAAAAAGTCAGAATTCCAAGATTAAAGTCAGAATTCTGAGAAAAAAAGTCAGAATTCCAAGATTAAAGTCAGAATTCTGAGAAAAAAGTCAGAATTCCAAGATTAAAGTCAAAATTCTGAGAAAAAAGTCAGAATTCCAAGATTAAAGTCAGAATTCCAAGATTAAAGTCAAAATTCTGAGAAAAAAAGTCAGAATTCCAAGATTAAAGTCAGAATTCTGAGAAAAAAGTCAGAATTCCAAGATTAAAGTCAGAATTCTGAGAAAAAAAGTCAGAATTCCAAGATTAAAGTCAGAATTCTGAGAAAAAAAGTCAGAATTCCAAGATTAAAGTCAGAATTCCAAGATTAAAGTCAGAATTCTGAGAAAAAAGTCAGAATTCCAAGATTAAAGTCAGAATTCTGAGAAAAAAGTCAGAATTCCAAGATTAACGTCAGAATTCTGAGAAAAAAGTCAGAATTCCAAGATTAAAGTCAGAATTCTGAGAAAAAAAGTCAGAATTCCAAGATTAAAGTCAGAATTCCAAGATTAAAGTCAAAATTCTGAGAAAAAAAGTCAGAATTCCAAGATTAAAGTCAGAATTCTGAGAAAAAAGTCAGAATTCCAAGATTAAAGTCAGAATTCTGAGAAAAAAAGTCAGAATTCCAAGATTAAAGTCAGAATTCTGAGAAAAAAAGTCAGAATTCCAAGATTAAAGTCAGAATTCCAAGATTAAAGTCAGAATTCTGAGAAAAAAAGTAAGAATTCCAAGATTAAAGTCAGAATTCTGAGAAAAAGTCAGAATTCCAAGATTAAAGTCAGAATTCCAAGATTAAAGTCAGAATTCTGAGAAAAAAAGTCAAAATTCTGAGAAAAAAAGTCAAAATTCTGAGAAAAAAAGTCAAAATTCTGAGAAAAAAAGTCAGAATTCCAAGATTAAAGTCAGAATTCCAAGATTAAAGTCAGAATTCTGAGATTAAAGTCAGAATTCCAAGATTAAAGTCAGAATTCCAAGATTAAAGTCAGAATTCTGAGATTAAAGTCAGAATTCCAAGATTTTTTTTTTTTTTTTTTTTTTTTTTTTTTTTTTTTTTTTTTTTTTTTTTTTTTACAGTGTCCTGTCTGGCAAGGTGGCAATAAGAATAATTGTCTTGATGCCAAAAGGAGCCCAACAGATTTTACTTTCACAAGTGTAGCGGTATCGCAATTGCCATACCGCTCCACTTGTTTCATGTATATAAATTGCTTTATTATAATTATGCAGGGAGTTTTACAGTTCATATGGACACTGCAATGTAAGTAGAGCAGAAAAACAGAAGAAGAAGAAGGAAAAAGAAAAAGAAAAAAACAGGACAAAAGATGAAAGAAAGAGGAGATAGGAAGGAGACAATGACAAAACATTTTCAGTCTGCTTCAACACCTGTAATGAGATGGAGAAAAAGAAAAAAGAAAAAAGAACAGCACAACCAAAAAACATGGTACGAGATATACAATAAAGCAAACACCTTGAAACTATCACTAAAGTAATATTATTAAGTCTGACATGTACTCTGTGTTACCTGAAGATATGAATGTGGGGTTTCTGTTTGGAAGTGAATCTCTAAGTACCTGAAGCCTAGCACCTGTAGTTGTTTGTGAGGGTGAACTTGTGCATGTAAAGTTTTAACCATAGAAAAAAATGCTCAATAGTGGTTGTGGAGAGCCGGAGAGGCACACCCCCCAGAGCACTGAGTCCAGCGCCGGGAGACCCAAAGCCCCAGGCGCCCAAGGGGACCCCAGAAGCGAAGGCACCAAGGCGGGGCCAGCCCCGGAAATCAGACCCCACCAAGGCAGGAGGAGAGACAGCCACGAGGAAGCCCCCCAGCCACCGCCATGCCGGCGCCCCGGGGAGCCGCGGGGACGAGTCCGCGGGCCCCGCCGGCAGCCGGCCACCCCGAAGTAGGGCCGGGCGCCGAACACCAGCCCCCCCACGGCGCCGACCGAAACGCCCCAGCCCCACAGAGCACCGAAACACGCCCCGCCCCCCCGCACCAAGCCCCGGCGACCGGCCGCAACACCCACCGCGACCGCACCACCCAGGAAAACACTAAGACGGCCCCGCCCCCGGCCGGGGCCCATGCGCATCCGCCGCGAACCGGCCACGAGCGCCGCGGGACCCCCCCCAAAACGCCCCCCCCGGCCAAAAGCGCAGCCCCACCCCACCAAGACCGATGCCAACAGCGCGCAACGAAACACACCGCGCACAGAATCAGCCCGAGAGCAGAAAAGCCGCCCGGCGCAAAACCGCAAGAAGAGCAGACCGCAGCCGGCGCAACCACCCCCCCAGCAGCCCGAGGGGCAGCACAAAGCCAGAGCGGAGCGAACCGCGCCGCCCCCCCCACCGGACGATGCCAAAGCAGCCCAGCCACGTCCGCCACCCCCCCCCGCAGCCCGCACCAGGCCCCGACACGCGGCCAGAGCAGCTCCGCCGCCCCGGCCCCCCACCACGCGCCGGTCATAGCCACCCCAGGCCCACACCCGCCCCGCAGCCCCACCCGCCGCGATCAGTGGGAACAGAGCAGCCCCGCCATGCCTCCAGGAGGGAAAACCCACCCGAATACCCAGCCAGCGCAGCCAGCCCGCCCAGACCGGCCCCCCAACACTACCCCCGCCGGAGCCGCCCGGACCCCCACACACCAGCGGCGCGCCGCCAGCAGGACCCCCACCCAGCAGGCCCGCCTGCCCCCCGAGAAAACAGACATGCCAAACCCCCCAAAGAAAAAAAGAGAAAAAAAAAAAAAAAAAAAAAAAAAAAAAAAGGGGCCCCCACAATGCGACAGCGGACACCAGACACCGACCCGCCCGCAACCGCTCCCCCCCACCGAGGAAGAGAAAAAAAATAAAAATAAAATAAAAAAAAAATAACAAATAAATAGGTAAATAAATAAATTAATTAATAATTATAATTAAAATAAATAGGCAAGAGGAGAAGTGCGAGCGGAAAAACCGGAGCCCAAAACAGGACCCAAGACCCGCACCCAACCATGCCGCGCAGCTCCCCCCCTCCCCGAACCGATACCACAGAACCGGCATAGGAAAGAAACACTGCCCAGGAACCGGCATCGTAGCGAAGGCACCGGCACCGACCCCGAAAATCCCCGAACAACACCCAGCCCCACCCCGAAGCGGATCCAGTCCCAGGCCCCAGGGATCCGAGGCCCCAAGGGCACCCCACCCCCAGACAGGAGCCCCAGCAAAGCCCCGGCCGGCCGGGGCCAGTGGAGAGGCCGCCAGGAATGAGCCAGCAGTCCCCCGGGCATCCACCCCCAGCTCCACCAGTGCACCGGTGAGCCCCGACGCCAGCCAGCGGAGGGAGAGCAGGACGGGGGGAATGGGCTCCGCACTTAGCGGAGACTTGAGATGTATTTGGGAGAGGGTGCGGTTGAGACCCCAACCTGGGAAAGAAAAAAAAAAAAAAAAAAAAAAAAAAAACACACCATCTCAATCATGCCTTCCCTCCCTAGTGCCCCCACTCGTACCACAGGAAAAAAAAAAAAAAAAAAAAAAAAAAAAATTGAATAAAATAATAATAATAATAAATAAAGAAAATAACAACGCAGACACACATTCACACATAACACTCACATCCAATAATACCAGGACCAAAAACCCGGTGACACCGGTGGTCGGTCCCGGGACTATCGGATGACCCCATAAGTGAACCTAAAATCCGGATGTGAGGGGAGGGGAGCGGCGACACCGCCACACCAACCCATCTCTTTCCTGCTTCAAGCCCGGCCCCCCCACCCCGCACACGGACCGGACCACCCCCCGCAAGAGCCCCCCCCGGGACCGGGGCCCACCCATCCCGCGCCGGCCCCCCAACCAGAACCGCCCCCCCCCCCCCCCCCCCCCAAAAAGAACAAAAAAAAAAAAAAAAAAAAAAAAAAAAAAAAAAACCTTCAACCAGGCACTTCATGCCCCTCCATCCAACCTTCTTTGGGGAGAGCAGAGGTGACAGCCCCGCCACCAGCAGGCCACCTAGGCCCCGCAGCCAGCCCCAGCCAAAAACACGGACCAGGTGGCCCGCTCTTCCTCCAGGCCCCAGACTCCAGGCGGCAGCCGGAGAACAAGGGTGTGAGAAGACCCCGATCCTCACTGCGCCAGAATTCCAAGATTAAAGTCAGAATTCCAAGATTAAAGTCAGAATTCTGAGATTAAAGTCAGAATTCCAAGATTAAAGTCAGAATTCCAAGATTAAAGTCAGAATTCTGAGAAAAAAAGTCAGAATTCCAAGATTAAAGTCAGAATTCCAAGATTAAAGTCAGAATTCTGAGAAAAAAAGTCAGAATTCCAAGATTAAAGTCAGAATTCTGAGAAAAAGTCAGAATTCCAAGATTAAAGTCAGAATTCCAAGATTAAAGTCAAAATTCTGAGAAAAAAAGTCAAAATTCTGAGAAAAAAAGTCAGAATTCCAAGATTAAAGTCAGAATTCCAAGATTAAAGTCAGAATTCTGAGATTAAAGTCAGAATTCCAAGATTAAAGTCAGAATTCCAAGATTAAAGTCAGAATTCCAAGATTAAAGTCAGAATTCTGAGATTAAAGTCAGAATTCCAAGATTAAAGTCAGAATTCCAAGATTAAAGTCAGAATTCTGAGATTAAAGTCAGAATTCCAAGATTAAAGTCAGAATTCTGAGAAAAAAGTCAGAATTTTGACTTTTTTCCCATACAATACTGAAATAAAATAAAAATAAAAAAGTTTAACTTTTTTTTCCCTAATCCTCTTCCGTAGATTTCTAACAAGTTCCCATTGATTTTGCTTGTAAAGCGGGGAGAATGGCGCTAGGCTTACCTCGTCGTGACGTCACGGCCGGAAGATGGCAGGAGGGAGGGGCTACTATATTTGGGCAAAAATGGCCGCTCCCAGACTCTGTGATCGCAATGAAAATTATTACTTTTATTTTTTTTTACTGATTAACACTAAATTCATTATAAACATATTAGTTTTAGGTATAGATAATTATCCATTGATCATTCCTTGCTGACCGGACTTTTCCTTTAAAGCAGGACTTTACTCTGTTCCACTCAATACTTAATTAGGTCTCCTTATAAACTTTTATACTGAATATTAATTTTATAAAACTTACAATTAACCAAGTTTTAGTATTTCTAACTTCTCCATATGTCAAATGTTGACATTTATTTGCAGGCCAACAAACAAAATTCTTATTTAGAGAACAGCAGCTGCCGCGGTCAGGAAAATGTTTGGATTTTAGAGGTGTGACCACCTGTAGATGTCAGAGGATATTTGAAAGTCAGCGTAAAAATTAACATGGGTGTATTTTTTTCTTTCCAATTAGGTCCTAATTTATTGCTGTAACTGAATCGTTTCTGGAGATCAAAGTAATCACTGTAAAGGTTTTGCCCACAGGTTAAACAGTACGTGTCGAGAGCCGAGGAGCTGAAGGCTCTGCTTGCTTCGGACAACAAACGGAGCTTCGAGGAAGCTCGGACATCCAGAGACGTTCTCCGAGGTAAAGATCAGATGGTTTTTTTTTACAAACATTTGATTAATTTTTACAATTATAGCCTGATCTGCTCCAGTATTTATTGTTGTTAGTTTACTTTGCCGACATGATGGATTTATTTCTTTGACAGGAACATTAATAATAAAGGTTGCAAACTGACTTTCACCTCCGAAGCAACAACCTTGTCTGGTTTTGAGCATTTTTTGCAAAGTAAAAGCTTAATGTTTTCCCACATTATTCGATTCTGTTTGTAACGAGATCAACAGATACGTTTTTGTTAAAGGCCAATGAGGAGACTGATTTTTTTTTCTTCTTTTCTTTCCGGGCTGATACGACTTTTTAATTCTTTATATGATTAAACATATGATACGATGATAATAAATCTTTCAATTCAAATGAAAATAAGCCTTTATTAACAAACCAAACAAAGCAAATGGATGGAATATCGATGCGTGTGCTTAATGTTTAACTCAAGCCATGGCTGCTAAATGAACTAATATCTGCCAAAAATATCCACTGACTGATGTGTCTGTCTATATTTAGTTTTAAAATGCAATGCCATTGGCAGTAAAACACACCCTCAGCATGATGATGAAAAAGTATTGGTAAAATAAGTAAAAATATATCTAGATAAGTGTATTTGCCCTTAATTTGAGCAAGTAAATGGTATGATCTACTAATAGAATGAGCATTTTCCTCCTAGAATAAGATAAGTAGATATTATTCACTTTAAAATAAGATAACAGAGATTTTTATTATTTTAACCTAAGTATTCTTATTCCATTGGCAGATTGTTTTTCTTATTTACCCAAATCGAGGGAAAATATAGTTCTTTAACAAAGAATGACTTACCTAGATTTGTATTTTTACAGCGTGACCATAAATGTTGTTTGGCATGTCTGTATATTTAACCATTCCAAATTAACATAATCTTAAACATCCGGTCCTGTTCTTTCCCATTGGAGGTGATGGTCTGTCATTTATGGCAGTAAAAACTCACAAGATTAGGGCTTTTCAAACATCCAGCCAACATGTACTGTTTCTATCTATATGGACGATTTTATCCAAATATTGGTTGATGAAAATTGGTGTCATTTGTTTGAACCAATGAAACCCTGAGGTTTAAGCGGTTATTTTTATTGGTTTAAAGATTTTAAACTGCCATACACTTTTAGTGAATATGCTTAAGATCTGAGTTTACAGTCTAAACTAAGAATTGATTCAAATCTGAGAATTGTCTTTCTCCTGACAGAAATGTCTAAAGACCAACCACGTCTCCTGGCCGCCTTGGACATGGCCTCTACAGCCATTGCTAAGGTTAGATACCCAGATGTTCACGGATGAAGGTCTAAGAAATTAAATGATGCAATAAAACCAACCAGAAGTTAAGAAAAAAATCACCAAAACTATTGGTAGCCTATGATACGGAGTGAATTTTGTTCCATTGTTGTTGCAAACTAAGAATATGTTTTGTAAATGGAAATTTTGAAAACAAGTAGTCCAATACTGAAATAAAACTTTAAAAAGATTTGTTTAAAAGTTTTTCAAGAGTAACTTCGCGGTTTTCTCTGATTTTCTTATTTCAAACTATTCATGAAATTTGCTTTTTTTTTTCAGATTTTTTTTTTTATGTTGACAGTTTTTTATATTCCTACATTTTATTTGTTCTAGTTTCATCACAGCATCATTTTTTTTTTATTAAAGTATTTTTTTCCTATTTTGATTTACCAGAAAACAATAATGGTATAAAATTGACTCCAGTTAACAGAACATGTTTAGCAGATTTTATCTGACTGACACACAAATAGTAGTACAGAAATGCTAAGTGGAAGGACTTTTTTTTTTTAACAAATTAGAATTATTTCACCCAGAAAGTTAATAAAGCAAAGCTGTGCGAAGCCTTTATCTTTACGAAAGCACAATGAGTTTGTTCTCTTTTTCTTTGTTTCTGTGAAATAATGCATGTCTGCTTTATTGCTGAATTCATTTTGAAATGAAAACCTGTTAGTCGAATTCTGGAGGCAGTTGTTTGCATCAAATGTTGAGATTTGTAGTGGATAAAAATGTTTCCAAACGCTGCATACCGTAATTTCCACTCCACCTAATTGCTTTTTATTGGTCTATCTTATAAAGTCCCAAATAAATACTTCAAGGTTGGTGGTTGATACTCAACAAAATAAAAACAAAAGAACTTCAGTATAAAGGGTTCTTTTATCCTATAAAATAGACTTCTTCTTCTAGAGTAAAAAGAAATTAGATTTGTTTTTTTGTGGGATTTATCATTTAAAATGGTTATCTGACTCTTTCAATCGTCTTTCCCAGGAGGAATATGGATCAGATAATCATGAAGCTTTGGATGTGTACCAGCAGTGTTTAGGGGAGCTTCTGTTAGCTTTAGCAGGTATGCCCATTTATTTTACTCTTTCACTATTTCACTGCATTATCCATAAAGTTGTAGGGAAGCGGCCGTTCCAACCGTTGCATTTCCGAATTCTCCTGAGTGGCGCCCGACTTTACATGAGTGAATAAAGTAAATGTGATTGGTCGATTAAAAAGGGGGCGGGATTGTTGTGGCGGAAGGTTCGCAAGCAACTTTGATTGTGCCGGTTTGTCGGAAGCATCTTGCTAACCAGTTAGCAACTTAGTGCTAGTAGGTTACTAATGGGAAATTACATTGAGACCAAGCAACAACACTGTCAAGGAACGCTATGGACAGCGGAAACATGCAAGAGGAGGAGAGTTTAGTGTCGGAGGTCGTGGATGAGTCTCCTCCGTCATCCATTTTTTATTTAGAGGAGGAAAGCGGGGACGAAGATGTTGTGGAAGAGGACGCCAGGGCGGCAGAAGCTTGGTTTGGTGTAGAAGGCTTCCAGCCGTACATGTTTGAGCCCTTGCCTCGCAACGCTGCCAGTTCTGTTAGCTCTACGCCTGCTGAAGACACAGACGTCCATCCCCGTGAACACTGGGACGCAACTCAATGGGAAAGGAAAGGATTCTGGTTTCAATCGTTGCGTATATTAGCTGCGACACATGAATCAAGATGCTATGACCGAAAAAATTTGATTGGCGGATGACCGTTGATATATGATTGGCCGAATTTAGGTGTTCGGGCCGACATATAAATAACTGGCCTGCAGAAGATAACGGGGAAAAAATGCACAGATTTTAAGACAGGATTTTTTTCAATTACAAATTTTCTAACTTTTGGGACAATAGGGTCTGATAAGGAGTGCATTTATATACACGTTTAAGCCAGAAGATTTGACGTTTAAATACGAGTTCCCTACGACTTAAAGTCGTTTTTAATGTTGAGTCAGTGCTCTTGTAGTGAAATTAAGAAATGTTTTGTTTTTCATAAGCAGAATAGGACTCCTTCATAAGAGCTGAGGTTACAGATTAGCTAAACAATGTTGAGTAATACTACAGAAATAAAACAGAAACAGATGAAAATTTAGACGGGAGCTTAGAGACTTAAGATGTAGTGATTTTGATGGGATGAGGCAGCAGCGGGAAGATCTGGAGTCGTTTTAGCGTTGCACGGTGCAGTATCCGAAGAGGCGAGTGGCTCTGTGGCCTGGCGTCCATCAGACTTGGTTCATGAGTTGAGCCTAATGGAGGAGGTGGAACAGAGTGATCCAGATGTGGCTTTGAGCTGGGATGAGACCCGCTGCCAGTGCCCTGTGTGTGGTATGAGAGTCCCGCCATCTGCTTCACATTCAGACGCCATAATTCAGCCGTGTGTGTTACTGAAACCTGGAGACAAACAAAAACTATTATCCCAGTTTCAATAACTTGATTGGTTAAAGATGCTGTGGAGTAAAACAACCAAAAAAAAAAAACTACGTAAAATCTGATCTCTGGTGAAGGAATCATGGATCGATCATTTCTGCCGCAGATTCTTAGGAGGTCCTTTTGTTCCCCCTGAAGCTTTTTGCTGCTCAGCTCCCCAGTCAACCTCCCTGCCACTCTGCCCTCCTCCTCCTCCTCTCGTTTTCCATTTCTCTGCCCTCAAGCGCAGCTCGCTCTGAAAACAATGGCCTCCATTTGAACAATTTCCACTCCTTGAGACTCCGGTCAACTCGCTCCTGAAATCAAATCTAGTATCTGCCTCTTCTTGAACAACGTAAATGGATGCTAGGCTCCTCTGCTACTTTACTGTCATTACTTCTCTGCTGTTTTGTTTTATTTCTCTCCCCCCTCACTCTCGTTGATCCAGCTGAGCCCCAGGGTCGCAGGAGAGAGCTGCTTCATGGTGAGGTGAGTGGGTGAAGAAAAGGTTCTGCTTTAGCCACCAGTAGGCTTACAGGTAATCATCACATGACCCATGTTTTTTATTTTTATTAGCAGCAAGACCTTTAAAAATAGCACAACATATCATCCATTATTATCATTAAACCTTCTGATGCTTCGGTATGGCTTTAAACATCAATAATAAATGAAAACCATTTTATTCTAAATGCTCTATTTATGGGCTAAATGTGACATTAGGAAATGTTTTTGCACAGAGATATTCAGGTTAATATTTGATGTTTTACAACTTTTTGTGTTTTAGCTTTAATTGTAAAAGCAAACGAAATAAAACAGAAACAAAAGAAAACATGAATCATATATTTAAAAATGTTACATTTCATTTAATTCGATTTAATTTTAAAAATGAATTCATGTTCATGGCACCAAATTACAGCAAGCACATTTTGAAGCCCATCAGGTAGACATGAAGTCCAGTTATAGATGGATAGGAAAACATTTTTAGAGAAAATTTAGAGAGAATTCCACATCATAGCAATTACATTTCACAAGGTAACCCAGACAGAATTGTTTCGCAAGCTTTCAAGGTTTCACTCGCTAATCAGTCTAGAGACTCTCCGTTAAAGAAAATTTGGAGCCGTTCACCAAACGAACGTCCAATCAGCGTTGGCTTTGAGGCGGGTTGAGGTGTGACGCAACGAGAAGCGCGACAGTTCAGTCTAAAGAACATGGCGGCTTCAGCCGATGAAACTAGCGTTAGCGTTGCTATCGAGCAAGTTTTATGGGAATTACAGAGTATTTCTTCACTGAAAGAAGAGCAAAACACTGCTCTGGAGGCTTTTCTCAGAGGAAAAGATGTTTTTGCTCTTCTCCCGACTGGTTTCGGCAAGAGTTTGATCTATCAATTGGCTCCTCTTCGTCGTTGCTCTGTCAGTACGTCATATGCTGCGTTGATCTGATTGGTTTATTTGGCCCGTCTATCACCAACATAGGCCAATCAGCTAACCAGTATTTTCGCCCCTTCCCAAAATTACTTCAACGGAAGGTTTCCAGATGGATATGCGGAGCAAATCCATCTGGCGGAGTCAGGTTACCATTTATCCTGCTGGATAAGGATCCATGTTGGATCTGGCACCGTGCACATTGAGAGTGATAAAGTATCGGAGGCAAATTGTGTGGTCTTTGCGGTCACCAAATCATCATAGCAACATAAGTAGCTGTCTAAAAGCCGTACTTTTGCTAGAAAAAGCCTTTTATTTTCCTACAATCACTACACATGTGCAGTTTGCAGAACCAACTGACTAGATTGTTTTGTTTGGTCAGGTGAGGCTAAGATTGGCAAAAAGCATTACAGGTGTGTCTGAGGAGGAGCAAAGTGTTTAAAGTTCATACATAAGAACAACACAATTTTTAATTTTTGTTGTTGTTGGTCCCTTTAATTCATGAGTCAAACAGTCGAGGTAGAATTTGTTGAAAACCTGCTTTAGCCTGAGTCATGTGGAACTACATCCATCCACTACTGTGCTGTCTGCCAGTGAAAAATAGAAGCACGTTCTGTAACAAAGCAATAAAAAGGCTCCAATCTGTTAAAGAGAAGAAAAAGAAATCAAAAATTCATCTTAATAGCTACAATTTACAACCAATAATGCAAACATTTTCTGTGGTAACTTGGGTTTATCAATTTTCAAAATGAGAGGTTTTCTAGAGAAATGCAAGAAACTAACGTTTGTTTTAAAGAGGCAAAATTAAAAAAAGAAGTTAAACAAATTAAAGTATAGATTTTTTTAATAGCTCACTACAGATCCTCAAAAATTACTTCTGTACTGCAATGACTTATTTGCTATATGACTCGGGGTTGCATTTCAATGCAGATAGAAAAGGGTGACTTCACATGAGTCTTTTAGCTATTTTTCTGGTAAAAATTACATTCAATTCAATTTATTTCTATAGAGATAATTCACAATGCATGTCATCTCAAAGCACTTTACAGAGACAATTCAACCAGTCAAGCAGTTGGATTGGTTTAAAGTTTTCTATCTAAGGAAAATATATTGATTGCATCGACTCATTGAGCAATCCCTCACACCAAGCATGCTTGTAGGGACAGTGGAGAGGAAAAACTCCCTTTGAACAGGAAGAAACCTCCAGCAGAACCAGGCTCAGGGTGAGCAGCCATCTGCTGAGGCCCACTGGGGTTCAAGGAGACAGAAGCAGCTAGAAGCACTGATTTGAAATACTTTCTTTTCTAAAAAAGGTAATAGTAAACTAGCTCCACAGGTGGCTCAGTCTAGGAAAGAAATGGTTAAGGGGATGACCTCCGAGCCAGTTTTCATGTCATAGAGATGAAAAGGAACACATGTAGGTAGTCAAAGTAAAAGCAGGGCCCATGGAATTGTCTGGAAGAGAAAAAGAACTAAACACTGAAAAATCGCCCTAACTCTATCCTAAGGTGTCGATGGCAGGATTTTGTCACAGCCAATCAGGAACAGACCAGATGAAGTTGCTTTAAGAAAAAACAGAGAGAGCATAACGTTATAGACTGAACTAAAAAATACAATACTAACAAAGTGGCAGAATTGAGATAAAATGGTGAAAAAGAGTAACCTGACTCCGCCAGATGGATTTGCTCCGCATATCCATCTGGAAACCTTCCGTTGAAGTAATTTTGGGAAGGGGCGAAAATACTGGTTAGCTGATTGGCCTATGTTGGTGATAGACGACCAAATAAACCAATCAGATCAACGAAGCATATGACGTACTAACAGAGCGACGACGAAGAGTAGCCAATCGATAGATCAAACTCTTGCTGAAACCAGTCGGGAGAAGAGCAAAAACATCTTTTCCTCTGAGAAAAGCCTCCAGAGCAGTGTTTTGCTCTTCTTTCAGTGAAGAAATACTCTGTAATTCCGATAAAATCTTGAAAGCTCGCAAGATCAGGATGGTCTCATGAGGCATGAAAAAGAGGTCCCTATGTCTTCCAGTAGCCTAAACCGATAGCAGCATAACTATAGAGATAGCTGTGGATAACCTGAGCCACTCTAACTTTGAGGTTTATCAAAAAGGAAAGTTTGTGAAGACTTTGTGTCTGCCTGGCGGACTAAAACTGGTAGTTGGTTCCACAGAGAAGCTAAGAAGTAAAGCAAAAAAGCAGGTGCAGCATTAAACTCAGTCAGTCAAATTTCTGCACAATTAGCCGCCTTTGTTGTCTGTTTTCTAACCGGCTAACACCTTCACACATGCTTAAAGAAATTTATTGAAGATTGTTAGGAAGGAACAGCTGTCTATATCAACTTAACCTACAAACTATACAGCTGAATAGATGCTGAAAACAAGGGGACCAGTCATTGGGTTGACCGGGGTAGAAGACCTCATGTTGCAGAGACAAACTATGACGTCACTCTCTGAGATATTTCTGCATCAGCTGAAGTCGCCAAACACCACAGCACCATCTTTAATTCTCCTCTGGTAGAGGGAACCTCCAGCTGCCATCTCTGATTTGACTGCTCAGCCAAAATTAGTAATTAAGAATAAACGACCTTTGTCAGACATGTAATCATCAAACCCAATCCTTCCTCTGAAGCCTGACGGGTCAGGCTTTTATAGGCAGCACAGGGTTTGAGTTTCTAAAAACATTTAACCCAGAGTACCATTAATGATGGTGATAAAATGAATGAGGAATAAAGAACCATGATTGAAACTCAAACAGAATAAAATGAGAAATTAGGAATAATCTAGAGAATCCTGTTGTTTTAAACCGCCAGAAGATGAAGGTTTGCTGTTGGTTTTCTGTTTGTGTTTTCTTTTTGGCCATTGTTTACCCAGCAGCTGAACCAACAAAACACAACATCTTCCACCAACAAACCCCAGGAGAGAGGGCAGGGCCCTGACTGGGCCTCATGGACCTCCATGTTTGAAGTTTTATGGGTGCTTGCCTTAAGCAAATTCAGATGCGGTTGTAATAAGCTAATGCAGGGAGGCAGGGTTAAATTAAAAGCACGTGTGTTTGTTAGAACCCAAAACAGCCGAACACGCTCCTCCGTGGCTGGACTCTGTTTGAGTTCAGAAGTTTTTCAGAAAAAGCTTTTTTCTTTCTTTTTGTGGAGCTGTTCCCTATTTTAACTTCACATGGCTGCTGTTGTCCTATAGTATCATGTTTTGCTAACATGCGTGAGTGTGTTTCCACATTTGTTGCCCTTACTGATTAGAGGGATCCTGATTAAAGTCCTGCGGTGAAATAATATCAGGATTGGAGCCGGATCCTAAGAACCAGCCGTCCAAATGATCATTAAAGCCTCTTTAAGACTCTTTAAGAAAAGTTTCAGCTCTTTCTCTCTCTACCTCTCTCTCTAACTTTACAATCGTCAAGTATACATGTTTTTACGTGGTGCGTTAAAGGTATTTTTAATTACCTGTTTAGCTGCTCCCTGTAAAGCTAGAATACAAACAATTTTCATTGTGAAATGGTAATAAAGGGATTTTTTATGTCTCTTGTCAGATTAAAAGCCTGATGACCAGAGCTGAATACCTCAAGAAGCATATCAAGGTAAAATAACTTTTAAAACGCTAAAGTTGTACATCAAATCCAGGAAGTGAGCCAAATATCGATGACAAGTTTATGTTCATGTTTCAGATGCAGGAGACTGAGAGGGATGTGTCCCTCGACCGAGAATCTCTCGCTGAATCCGTCAGAGGCTGTGAGTTCCCTCTTAAACTCATTTATGTTAAAGCAGCAGGGTTCTACTGGAAGGTTTGCAGCCATAGAGGGCTGGAGGATGAGGGAAAATCGACGTCTGCAGGCTGAAATAAAATGTCCCTCCATTGAATCCTTTCCCAGCGGTTGACTATATGCCATCGTCATGCTCAAACTCAGGATGTTGAGCAGCGCTGAGCTCTTCTAAAGCTAATATTGTGGAATATGATGCAGAAAAAGGATGGCCTGTATAACACAAACTTCAAAAAAGAAACAACAGCCTGCAAATGCTTCTTATTTCTATTTAATACTCAACGACTATTTTCACACACATATTTAAATCCAGCTGAAGGTTTTTAGGTTTTAATATGCCTGCTTCTCCCTCATGGTCACATATGTGGACAAAGTCTTAATTCAGAGTATTTTCTGGGCTTAACTCCAAGATTGCTGTTGGACACCGAGACAATATCCTGTTCTCAGGACTAAATTCCCAAGGAATTATGAGTTTAAAAAAATAAGGAAGGGGGGAAGGGATCTAAGAACTCAGCTTGCTGCTCAAGTTTTATGAAGAATGTGGCTTCTTACCCTGCTGTTGTTGTTTTAATGAAACCACACTACAGCCCGAGCCAGCAGCTGGCATGGCTCCAACAGCAGCTGCTTCAGAGCGGGTCGCAGCAACGCCCATGCCTGTCTGCTGACCTGAAACTGCACCAAAATATGCAGCAAAATGACCAGAATCAGCGCACTGTACTGCTGATACAGTTTACCTTACAGGCGGAACTACAGGAAGTGTTTTTGCATCTTCGGAGCAACCTCTACACATAACAGGGGACACAGAAACTCAGAGAGGCTGAAGCCAAGCATTTCCACAGCTTAGGAAGTGGTAGCAGAGATACAGCCTTGGAAATCATCTAAAGGAAAATGTTTCTTGCTTCATTTTTTACATTGACATTGGTGAATGGCAAATAATATTCCTCTGAATGATCAGAACTTGGAACATCCTGAATCGGACATACATGTAAATCAGAAACTTTATTTCAGGAGTTCAATTAAAAAAAGCAAGCCTTTATTTATATATATATACATATATGTATATATGTATGTATATGTATATACAGGTGCTGGTCATAAAATTAGAATATCATGAAAAAGTAGATTGATTTCAGTAATTCCATTTAAAAAGTGAAACTTGTATATTATATTCATACATTACATACAAACTCATATATTTCAGATGTTTATTTTGTTTAATTTTGATGATTACAAATGACAACAAATGAAAATCTCAAATTCATCATATCAGAAAATTAGAATATTGTGAAAAGGTTCAAAATTGATGGCCCCTGGTGCCACACTCTAATCAGCTAATTAACTCAAACCACCTGCAAAAGCCTTTAAATGGTCTTTCAGTCTAGTTCTATAGGCTACACAATCATGGGGAAGACTGCTGACTTGACAGTTGTCCAAAAGACGACCATCGACACCTTGCACAAGGAGGGCAAGACACAAAAGGTCATCGCTAAAGAGGCTGGCTGTTCACAGAGCTCAGTGTCCAAGCACATTAATAGAGAGGCGAAGGGAAGGAAAAGATGTGGTCGAAAAAAGTGTACAAGCAAGAGAGATAACCGCACCCTGGAGAGGATTGTGAAACAAAACCCCTTCAAAAATGTGGGGGAGATTCACAAAGAGTGGACTGCAGCTGGAGTGAGTGCTTCAAGAACCACCACACACAGACGTATGAAAGACATGGGTTTCTGCTGTCGCATTCCTTGTGTCAAGCCACTCTTGAACCACAGACAGCGTCAGAAGCGTCTTGCCTGGGCTAAAGAGAAACAGGACTGGACTGCTGGTGAGTGGTCCAAAGTCATGTTCTCTGATGAAAGTAAATTTTGCATTTCCTTTGGAAATCAAGGTCCCAGAGTCTGGAGGAAAAGAAGAGAGGCACTTCATCCACATTGCTTGAAGTCCAGTGTAAAGTTTCCACAGTCAGTGATGGTTTGGGGTGCCATGTCATCTGCTGGTGTTGGTCCATTGTGTTTTCTGAGGTCCAGGGTCAACGCAGCCACATACCAGGAAGTTTTAGAGCACTTCATGCTTCCTGCAGCTGACCAACATTTTGGAGATGCAGATTTCATTTTCCAACAGGACTTGGCACCTGCACACAGTGCCAAAGCTACCAGTACCTGGTTGAAGGACCATGGTATCCCTGTTCTTAATTGGCCAGCAAACTCTCCTGACCTTAACCCCATAGAAAATCTATGGGGTATTGTGAAGAAGAAGATGCAATACACCAGACCCAACAATTCAGAAGAGCTAAAAGCCACTATTAGAGCAACCTGGGCTATCATAACACCTGAGCAGTGCCACAGACTGATCGACTCCATGCCACGCCGCATTGCTGCAGTAATACAGGCCAAAGGAGGCCCAACTAAATACTGAGTGCTGTACATGCTCATACTTTTCATGTTCATACTTTTCAGTTGGCCAACATTTCTATAAATCCTTTGTTTTTATTGGTCTTCAGTAATATTCTAATTTTCTGATATGATGAATTTGAGATTTTCATTTGTTGTCATTTATAATCATCAAAATTAAACAAAATAAACATCTGAAATATATGAGTTTGTATGTAATGTATGAATATAATATACAAGTTTCACTTTTTAAATGGAATTACTGAAATCAATCTACTTTTTCATGATATTCTAATTTTAGGACCAGCACCTGTATATGTATGTATATGTATTTATATATATATATGTGTGTATATATATATATATATATATATATATATATATATATATATATACACAACGAATTTCCCTTTTGTGGGACAATAAAGGGATTTACATTACTTTTACATTTTTATTAAGATTAAAATTAAGATTAAGTGGAAGAAAAAGAGATGTTGACAAGCTTCTTGAGTCACCACTCACTGCTTGTATTCAGTCAACACTGAACTAGAGACGGTGTCCGAAGTGTCTAATCTGAATCAAAGTAAAGAAGGAGTGGAATTTTTCTCAGTGTAGTTTTCAAATAATTTAAAAATCAAAGTTCCTGGAATAGTCTCGCCTACCCAGAAATGTTATCACACCTCATGCATCCCCCTCTGAATAAGCTTCAGCCGACCAAATAGAATAGAGTAAAATAGAGATAGAGCCAATAAAGAAGTCAGAATAAGCAGTAAAGATGAGCTGAGGGCCTTTAAAGCAACCTGTGGTTCCTGAACACCTCAGCAGAGATAGAATAGAAAATCCCTTTATTGTCCCACAATGGGAAAATTCTGGTGTTTACAGCAGAAAAAAGGATTATAGAAACGAATGGTCACACAAATGTGGACCTTTAGAAAAAAGTGTAAGAATAACCTACTAGTGAAGAGATACAGTCATTCATAACTTTTCAAATGTAGTGTAATTATATATGGAGTGAATTTTGCTCCATTATTGTGGCAAGCAAAGAACACCTCTTGTAGATGGAGATTTGAAACAAATAATGCAATCCAGGAATGTCATGTTGAAAAAACTTTTTAAAGGGATATTGTGTAAGAATTATTGCCATCTAGTGGTAAAATAGGGGTACTTCTGTCAAATTTAATTTTTTTGCTTCCACCAACAATGGAACAAAATTCCCTCCATAATTATGACATTCTAATCTATAAGGACAGGTGTGGTTATCGCTTAATGAGCTGAAACATGGTGGGAAACGTTTTTTTTTATTCGAGACGTGTGGCATTGATGAATAACACGAGTTTGTGGTTCCTTTCAGCCTGCAGCTTGCAGTGAGCGGCGCAGCAGCTGTAAAACCCAGGAATGCTCTGCGGACTGTCCGTCAGTTTTCAGCTTGGACACAGAGCCCTCACCACAGCAGGCCTCTGCAGGGGCCAAAGCACACTGCATCCTAACCCACTGAGTACACTATCTGGGTGGGAAGTGACAGTTACCAGCCAAAGATGCTTTGGCCGCTGCTGTAAAGCTCCTCTACTATATGAATTGGCAGGTAAAGGACTCAGTTTGAAGGATTTTTTTCCCTACTTTTTATTTTCTTCTTATAAGGGAAAAAAGTTCTGAATTAGCTCTTTAATTTTGGGGAATGTGAAAGCCTTCTGCCCTTACTGTGTGTTGTTAGAGAGCTGAGACTCAATCCCCCTCCTCCAGAATCACCATTGATATGTAAATGATGCACAGCTCGGATGACAATACCAACCTGCCAGTCTAAATGAATAAAACTGAGACCGCTGCATTAGAATAGCAGACAACATCTACACGTCCTTCCCGCATGTTATGAAGCTCCAAGAAAGGCAATCAAACCTGAGCTGTAGTGTTTATTAGATCTGTGCAGCCTCTTCTCGGCGGCCTTTACTGTGGCTCAGCCGCAGACTCGCCGTGCTTCATCACTGACAGTCCTCATCAGAGGTGCGGCTTCTGCCTTGTTTGCACTGGTGTTGTGTTTAGGTTATGATGGGAAACTTTATTTGGACAAACTCTCCACAGGAAACCATGGAGGCTTTAATTAAAGTACATGTTGGAGAGAGATGCTGATGGTTCTTTTACATTTTCTGTCATTTATTTTTTCCAAAGGGAGGCCATTTAGGCAAAACTGCTGTACTGTTTTTTTTTTTTTTTCACATAAAAAAACTGTTTTACTTTGTATTTATTTAAGTATAAGATGTAAATTAAAAGACTAATTATAAATAAAGAATAAAAATGACCTGATAAAGAAATGTCAAGTCTGTTTGTTTCCACATAGTGAATAGTTTTGAAATGCTTACAAGGAAATTATTAATACAATAAAATTATGTTGAATTTTTCCTAATACCAATAAGACTAGAATTATAACAAGCTTCCGTTTAACAATCTAATATGAGATCAGGATGTTGGAGGATGTTTTTAACTTTTTTTATGCTGGGATTTCTTAAACATAAAACCTGAGGATTTGTCAATAAAAATGTAAAGATTGGATAAATCAGCCGTTTAGCCAAAGACTGAGAAGAATCACTGAGAGCGTTGGTTGATAGTAAAAATACAACCTTAACTTTTATACTAACATCAGCTGAGCCTCAATTTAATGAAGAAAAAAAAACAGAAAGATATTCTGATTATAAACATGAATATCTATCTATATAAATACCGATGTAAACACCCTGTGCAATAACCCTGTATAATGATCCTACTATTAACATAAAAAAGGTTGTCGTATGTGCATGCACTGTATATATCCCATACACCTTTTTCTTCCTTTGGCACCTTCTTCTCCTTTAAATATTTGAGCTAATGTAAGGAGCACATTTCTCCATTGCAAGATCAATAAAGTGGCCATCTAAGAACTCAATGAATTGTAGAAAAGTAGTAAAAAGGCGACTCGAGCACTAAGTAACTGATTATAACATCTGATTTAATGCCTTAAAATGACCTAATTGGTCAGACTTAAGTATAAAGTTATGTGCATAAAAATACCAAACTAAAACATCAGGCAGAATAAACACTTCCAAATCAGTCTTATTTTAAATATAACGTTAAAAGCCAATATTCACAGTAAGCAATATATTTAGACTAAGTTGGAACTAGTTGATTCAATTCAATTCAGTTTATTTATATAGCGCCAAATTCACAACACATGTCATCTCAAGGCACTTTACAGTTCAACCAGATCAAATTGATACAAAGTTTTCTATCTAAGGAAAACCAGTTGATTGCATTGACTCATTGACTCAAATACAATCCCCCACACTAAGCATGCTTGTAGCGACAGTGGAGAGGAAAAACTCCCTTTTAACAGGAAGAAACCTCCAGCAGAACCAGGCTCAGTGTGAGCGGCCATCTGCTGAGGCCCACTGGGGTTCAAGGAGACAGAAGCAGAGATACAAAAAGCAGCTGTAAAAGGCGGCCCCGTCCAGGAAACACACAGCCAGGCAGACGAGCTCCAAGGCAGCTCCCATGCCAGAGGACGAAGAAAGCACATCCACTCAGTCACGGTCAGAGAAACAGGACCACACTGGAAAACAGGCCGATCTCCAACATCTATAAACAAGGGTGTTGATAGAAGCAGCACAGCTGATGTTTCTTTCCAGGATGACGTCACAGCCAAACAGGAACAGACGAGGCAAAGCTACTCTGAGGAAAAGCAGAGAGAGCAGAAGGTTAGAGATTGAACTAACAGATTCTGCAGAATAGGAGAACAGAGAGAGAATGAAGCAGAATGATGAAATGGGGGTCCCTATGTCCTCCAAAAGTCTAAGCCTATAGCAGCATAACTATAGAGATAGCTCAGGATAACCTGAGCCACTCTAACTATAAGCTTTATCAAAAAGGAAAGTTTTAAGCCTAGCCTTAAAAGTAGACAGGGTGTCTGCCTCACGGACTAAAACTGGTAGTTGGTTCCACAGGAGAGGAGCCTGATAACTAAAAGATCTGCCTCCCATTCTACTTTTAGAAATTCTAGGAACCACTAGTAAACCTGCAGATTGAGAGCGAAGTGCTCTGTTAGGAACATAAGGAACAATCAGATCTCTGATATAAGATGGAGCTTGGCCATTTAAGGCTTTATATGTGAGAAGGAGGATTTTAAATTCTATTCTTGATTTAACAGGAAGCCAATGAAGAGAAGCCAGGATAGGCGAGATATGATCTCTCTTTTTAATTTTCATTAGAACTCTGGCTGCAGCATTTTGGATCAGCTGAAGGCTTTTAACTACAGTTTGTGGACTTCCTGATAGTAAAGAATTACAATAGTCCAGCCTTGAAGTAACAAATGCATGGACTAGTTTCTCAGCATCACCCCTGGACAGGATATTTCTAATTTTTGCAATGTTCCTCAGATGAAAGAAGGAAATTCTAGAAACCTCTTTGATGTGGGATTTAAATGACAGGTCCTGATCAAAAACAACACCAAGATTTTTTACTTTATTATCTGAAATCAGTTTAATCCCATCCAAATGAAGTGACTGGCTAATCAGTTTCTTTTTCAGAGACTCTGGTCCAAAGACTATAACTTCTGTTTTGTCTGCATTCAGAAGCAGAAAGTTAAGAGTCATCCAGGTTTTTATGTCTTCAAGACATGCCTGTAATCTATGTAATGGGTTAGCTTCATCTGGATTTATAGACAGATATAGCTGGGTATCATCAGCATAACAGTGGAAATTAATCCCATGCTGTCTAATAATTCTACCAATTGGGAGCATGTATAAAGTAAAGAGAATTGGTCCTAGCACTGATCCCTGTGGTACTCCACAGGTAACCTTTGAGCGTGTTGAAGATCTATCATTAACATGAACAAACTGAATTCGATCAGATAGATAAGATTTAAACCAGTCTAGTGCTGTTCCTTTAATTCCAACAAAATATTCAAGTCTTTCTAAAAGAATATTATGGTCAACTGTATCAAATGCAGCACTAAGATCCAACAGGACGAGCACAGATACAAGTCCATTATCTGAGGCCATGAGAATATCATTAGTGACTTTCACCAGAGCTGTTTCAGTGCTATGATGAGCTCTAAAGCCAGACTGAAACTCTTCAAAAAGTTCATTATGGTGGAAGTGATCGCAAACTTGTTTGGCAACTACTTTCTCAAGAATTTTGGATAAGAAAGGAAGATTGGATATAGGTCTATAATTGACCAAGTCATCTGGGTCAAGAGACGGTTTCTTAAGCAGAGGTTTAATTACAGCAACCTTAAAAGCTTTAGGTACATATCCCTGTAACAGAGATAGATTAATCACATCTAAAATGGAGGAGGAGATCAAAGGGAATAGCTCCTTAAATAACCTGGTTGGAACTGGATCTAACATACAAGTTGAAGGCTTAGATGAAGACAATAATTTTGCTAATTCAGAGAGTTCAACTGGATCAAAGCAGTCTAAACCCAGTTCAGATTCCATGACTACCTCAGGTACAATCGCGGATAGAGGAGTGCTTATGATCTTATTTTTAATAAGATCAATCTTATTTATAAAGAATCCCATAAAGTCATTGCTGCTAAGAGCAGGTGGAATGGACGGTTCAACAGAGCTATGGCTCTGGGTGAGTTTGGCAACTGTATTAAAAAGAAATCTAGGATTATTCTTATTCTCCTCTATTAATGAGGAGAAGTATGCTGCTCTTGCTTTACAAAGGGTCCTCTTATACAGCAGTAAACCATTTTTCCAGACTAGGAAGGACTCCCGCAGGCCTGTGGAGCGATATTTTCTCTCCAGTTTCCTAGCATTTTGCTTCAAAGTACGCAGCTCTGCATTAAACCAAGGAGCAAGCTTTCTATTTTTAACGGTTTTCATTTTCAAAGGAGCTGCGTTGTCTAAGGCAATACGCAGAGAACTAGCAACCCCATCAACAAAATCATCAACCTGTGAAGGGGAATAAGCTAAACTTTTGCACTCTGCAGCACTGCTCAGTGACACAGAGGAGAGAGAAAGTGAAGCAGATTCTTTAAAATTTATAACTGCACTATCTGATAAAGATCTACTAAAATTGAACCTTCTTTTGGGGGAGGAGAACTCTGTTAAAGTAATCCTGAAGGTTATTAGAAAGTGGTCAGAGAGGACAGGGTTGTGAGGAAATACTGTTATTTCTTCACATTCTATGCCGTATGTCAGCACAAGATCCAAAGTATGAAGATGAGAATGCGTGGGACTATTCACATTTTGAACAAAGCCAATAGTGTCTAAGATAGCATTAAAGGCTGCTCTTAAGCTATCGCCTTCAATGTCAGCATGGATGTTAAAATCTCCCACTATGATGACCCTGTCAGTATTTAATACCAAATCAGAAAGGAACTCTGAAAACTCATCTAAAAATTCAGAGTAAGGACCTGGTGGACGATACAAAGTTACAAAAAGAAGAGGTTTTCTTGCTTTGAAATTTGGATCAGGGAAATTAAGGGTTAAATGTTCAAAAGAGTTGTAGGTATTAACTGTTTTGGGAGTAATCAGTAAGTCAGACTGGAAGATTGTTGCTACTCCTCCTCCTCGCCCAGAACTTCTGGGGATGTGAAAATTTAAATAGCTTGAAGGAGTTGCCTCATTTATGCTCACATAATCCTCTTGCTGCAGCCAGGTTTCTGTAAGGCAAAACAAGTCAATGTGATTATCAAAAATCAAGTCATTAACTAGTAGACTTTTAGAGGAAAGCGATCTTATGTTAAACAGACCGCATTTAATTGTTTTAACTTTTTCCCCAATTTGAGTTATTTTGATTTTAATTAGATTATCATGATTTACTCCTTTGGGAATCTTTGCTAATTTATTAGATTTTGGTCGTGGGCAAGACACTGTCTGGATGGAGTAAAGAGTGGGTAACAGTAGAGAAGCTGCAGAGATGTGTGTTAAACTACAACTCTGCTTCCTGGTCTGCACCCTGGGTGGTCAGGGTTTTGGAGGACTAATAAATGTGGCCAGATTCCTAGAAAGAAGAGCTGCACCATCCAAAGTGGGATGGATGCCGTCTCTCCGAATCAGACCAGGCTTTCCCCAAAAGGATTGCCAATTATTAATGTAGCCCACGTTGTTTTCAGGGCACCACCTAGACAACCAGCGGTTGAATGACGACATGCGGCTAAACATGATCAGGTTCCTCTTGTCCTGTTTGGCACGTTTTATTTCTACTGGTTCTAATTTACTCCTTGATAGAACCAAGCGGTTCACTGGGAGCCTAATCTTCAAGGACAG